ATTAAAAGACTCACAATCCTAAAGCAACTTCACCAACTATCACTCATCGCTATCCTTGAACCTTTCTTGGATAAAACTCACATTAACTACTTTAGAATTCATCTCTCTATGCACCAAGCAGCTTCCAATGTCAATGACAAAATTTGGGTATTCTGGGATAAAAAATTCACTGCTAAGGTTCTAGATTCGGATGAGCAACATATATCTATGGAGATGAAACATGTGGAGGATGGAAATCTTTTCAACCTGACATTCATCTATGCCAAATGCAAACCAGCAATGAGGAGACCCTTATGGGATGTCCTGATACATAAATCTTACACAACCACCATCCCTTGGTGTGTAATAGGGGATTTCAATGTCATAGCATCTGTTGAGGAGAAATTTGGGGGTATTCCTTATCATATTAGTAAAAACTTGGAGTTTTTAGCATGATTGAAGATAGTGGTCTGGTGGATCTTGGCTACTATGGTCACAAATACTCCTGGTCAAATGGCAGAGGACCAAACACAATTGTCTGGAAGAGACTAGATAGGGGTCTAGTGAACGACCAATGGTTGGTTGCCTTCCCTGCAACTAATATTTCTTATCTAGCCTCAACAGGTTCTGATCACAACCCTCTCCTGATTGAGATCAATATAAGGCAAGAAATGGGCAAGAGACATTTCAAATTCTTCAACGACTGGGTAGACAATAAAAAATGTATGCCTCTAGTGGAGGAGGTATGGAATAGAGAAGTCACAAGCAATCCTATGTGGATCTTCCCCCAGAAGCTCAAAGAACATAGCAATGCCTTGAGTATATGGTCCAGACAAGAGTATGGAGACATTTCTCAGAAAGCTAAAATGTTTGAACAACAAGTCAAAGATGCAGAGGAGACATGGGCACAGAGTAACTCTGAGAATGACAGAATTACATTTCAGAAAATCAAAGCTCAATATCTCAAGTATATCTTGAAAAGTCAATCCTCAAACAGAAAACTCAGTTATAATGGTTCAAAGATGGGGATGCAAACTCCAAATACTTTCACAGCCTAATGAGGGGTACAAGAAGAAAGTTATACATTTACAAGATCAAGGATGAAGATGATAATTGGGTACAGGGTGATGAGGCTATAGGCCAAACAACCTGTGATTATTTTCAAGAACTCTTTACTGACCCAGGAGGTATTATCAGAGAAGACCTTCTCTCATGCATCCCAACCACTATCACCTCTGAAGATAATAATACCCTTTCTATAAATCCCACAATGACTAAACTAAAAGAAGTAGTCTTCTCTATGAGTCTTACAAGTGCTGCAGGCCCGGATGGTATGAATGGTAAATTTTACCAAGCTTGTTGGGAGATCATCAAGTCTGATTTGATGAAGGTTGCACTGGCTTTTTTTTGGAGGAAGCACCATGCCCAGATATATGACAAGTGTTTGTCTTGTCCTACTTCCAAAAGTGGAATTTCCCAACTCTCTTACATAATCCAGACCAATCAGCCTCAGCAATATCATCAACAAGATCATCTCCAAGATCATTAGTACAAGATTGGCCCCACCCGTCCCCAGAATCATCTCAGTCAATAAGACAGGCTTTGTTAAATGGAGAAACATTTCTGAAAATATCATGCTTGCATAGAAAATTGTCCATGGCATCAAAAAGCCCAACATTGGCACCAATGTTGTTATTAAGCTAGACATGGCCAAAGCATACGATAGAGTATCATGAAGCTTCACATGTATCATGCTGAGAAGAATTGAATTTTGTGAAAGAATCATTGATATGATCTGGAGAACTGTGTCCAAAAATTGGTATTCAGTCATCATTAATGCACCAGGTATGGCTTATTTCAATCTAGTAGGGGCATAAAACAAGGAGACCCACTAGCTCCCTCCCTGTTCATTATTGGAGCTGAACTACTTTCCAAGATGCTCAACAATCTGAACCATGATCAACTTTTTAATGGCTTCTATATGCAAATGAGATGACCTCAGATCAATCACCTCAGTTTTGCAGATGACATTATCATATTTACTTCAGGAGGCAGAGTATCACTTCAAAAAATCATGAAGATATTGAGCAGTTACGAAGAAAGTTCTGGGCAAACAATCAACAAGGAAAAGAGTCATTTCATGACTACAGCTGGAGCATTTCAGTCTGCCATCAGAAGGATTAGAGCAAAACAGGCTTTCAAAGAGGGAATCTCCTTTAAATTACCTGGGATGTCCTTTGTATATAGGTAGGAAGAGGATCATTCACTACAACAATCTCACAACTAAGATTGTAGGCAGAATCAAAGGTTGGCATGGAAAAATGCTATCCTATGGAGGCAGGGCTACCTTGATAAAACATATTCTGCAATTGATACCAATCCACCTCTTGTATGCAGTGTCTCCTCCAAAAACTGTTATGAAGCAGATTGAGAAATTGGTAGCAAATTTCTTCTAGGGTCTGGAAAAGGACAAATTGAAGTATTATTGGGCATCTTTGCAGAAACTTGCCTATCCAATGAAGAAGGGTGGTCTGGGATTCAAAATAATTGAGGATATCTGCAAATCAATGGATATCAAACAATGGTGGCACCTAAGAACCTCTCAGTCTCTATGAAGCAACTTCTTTAGAGCCAAATACTGTCAAAGGTCCAATCCAATATCCAAAATATTGGACTCTAGCCAGTCACAAGCATGGAAAAGGATGTGACTAACAAAAAGGAGGCTGAGCAAGCAATTCACTAGAGACTTCACTCAGGAAACTGTCTCTTCTGATGGGATAATTGGCTAGGAACTGGGCCTTTAGTTAACCATAGAATTGGTAGAGGCAGGCCTGGCAACACTCTTGTTTCCTATTTTTGGAGGGAGGGTCAATGGGATCTTCAGATACTAAATGAATGTGCCCCATATCACATGATCCAAGATATCATTCAAACCCCTATTCATTACCAACCACAGACCATAGATGATGCCATTTGGACACCAACTACTAATGAAAAATTCAATTGTGCCTCTGCTTGGGAACTAATTAGAAAGAGGAAACAACATAACTTCTCCAACAAAATGACCTGGCATAAGAAAAAACCTTTTAAGTGGTCTTTCTGCCTATGGAGAGCCCTCAGAAACAAATTGCCAACTTATGACATAATGCTTGTATTTAGTAACCCCACTGTATCCAGATGTGTCTGCTGCACTACACATGCCAATGAAACTGTGGAACACATTTTCAGTAGAGGCTCTTTTGCTAGCTATGTTTGGATAAAATTTGGTGGCATAACAGGATATCAAACCGACAACAAGCCTCTTAAGTTGCTCTTAATGACTTGGTGGATGCAGAAGAGTCATAATGAAGTCCAAAGATTAATTCTTGACACCATGCCTATTATTATCTGCTGGAATCTTTCGAAGAACAGATGCAGTGCAAAGTATGGAGGAAAGACATCATCTATGGCCAGGGTCTTATTTTGTATCAACTCAGATGTCTTAATGCTGCTGACAACCTACTTTCCTAATATATCTTGGTCCTCCAAGTAGAATGAACTATATCTTATAGTGGAACAAATTAAACACCATACTTCTGTCACTCAAGTCATATGTCAAAGACCTGAAGCACAGTTTGTGAAGGTCAATAGTGATGGGAGTGCTCTAAGTAATCCAAGCAATATAGGGGCAGGGTTATCATAAGAGACCATACCAGTGAGTTCATCCATGCTATTGGTACCTGATAAGTTATATATACCTTGTTATGTTTTGATGATCTAATAAACTTACTGTCAAGAACCAGATAAGGAACCTGATACACATCCTCAAGAAATTAAAGATAACAAGTCTCCAGTTTGGGACACAGTTCAACTCTTTAGAGTCAAAGGAACAGCAGAGCTACCAGTTCCCGAGGTGATAGTACAAGTCAACAAGTCTCCAGTTGGGGACACAGTTCAACTCTTCCGAGTCAAAGGAACAACAGAGGGAACAGATAGCTACCAGTTCCCTAGGTAACTGTACAAGTCAACAAGTCTCCAGTTGGGGACACAGTTCAACTCTTCCGAGTCAAAGGAACAGCAGAGGGAATAGATAACTACCAGTTCCCTAGGTGACTGTACAAAGTCAACTCCCCACAGCTGTAAAGTGACTGCAACTGTTCCTCTGCACACACGCAACAGTGTAAGCAGTGGAGCAGTCAACCTTTTGGGGAATGCCTTTGTACCAAACATGCTTACATCATTCAAGTGAGGTCACTTATGCAATATTAACATGAAGGAAAGGCAAAACAACACTTGCATACTTCAGAATCAATCAAGCTCTCTCTCAAGTGTATTGCCAACCTGCAAGTGACCTTCAAAGCATCAAGAACAAAGAGCAACATAACGAAGGACCAGTTTCCAGCATTGAGTCATCACATGTCCTTAGTTGTGTTGCACTTTTGTTAAAGTTCTTTACTTATAATTCCTACTTCTCTTAGTTAGAAGCATTGTGTAGGAAACCTTTGCAAATCATAAACCCTTGTGTTTGTTTCTTGGCTAGTTTAATCGAGTTGAAATTCTTTGTAATAGAGTCATTATAAAGTGGCTTGTAATAGAGTTGTTCTAAGTTAGTGAGAGATTAAGTCTTTGTAATAGATTTATTACAAAGTCGCTTGTAATAGAGTTGTTCTAAGTTAGTGAGAGATTAAGTCTTTGTAATAGATTTATTACAAAGTCGCTTGTAATAGAGTTGTTACAAGTTAGTGAGGGATTAGGAGGTTAATTCCTAGGGTACATAGGTTGTAATCTGAAAGTTGCTCATAGTGAAGTTGAAATCCTACAAGGGTAGGTCATGATTTTTAATCCTGTTGAGCTGGGAATTTTCCACGTAAAATTCCTCTTGTCATTTACCTACTGCAGTGTGTGTGGTTTTTGTGCGAACTTATATCTGTGGGAACTTATAGAGAACCTGGTTCTCTATAGAGTTTGATGGACCATCGAATTCTATTAATTGGTATCAGAGCATGTTTTTTCTATTAGGCTAACACCTAGAAAGGATCCTCATGGATGAAGACTCAGAACTTTGGGATGTCATCTGCGATGGTCCTTTTGTTCCTATGAAGGCCAATGGAGAACCAGAAGTGTCAGTTCCTAAGACTAGGAAAGAATACAACGATGCTGACAGAAAGGCTATAGAGAAGAACTTCCGAGCCAAAAAGATCCTCGTATGTGGTATTGGACCAGACGAATATAACCAGATTTCTGCCTGCCAATCTGCCAAGGAGATCTGGGAGGCTCTTAAAATAGCACACGAAGGGACTATTCAAGTCAAACAGTCGAAGATTGATATGCTAACCACTGAGTATGAGCTATTCAGGATGAAGGACGATGAGTCCATTCAAGACATGCACACTCGCTTCACCTCTATCATCAATGACCTTCACTCATTGGGAGAAATCATTCCCGGAAATAAACTTGTCAGAAAAATACTTAGTGTATTACCTGGTTCCTGGGAAAGCAAGGTAAACACCATCACAGAGGCAAAGGATTTATAGAAGCAAACCATTGATGAACTCATTGGTAATCTAAAAACTTATGAAATGAAAAAGAAGAAGAAGAAGGACAATGAGATGAGAGAGCCCAAAAGAGAGAAGAACATGGTTCTCAAGACATACAACAAAGATTCAAGTGGTGAGGATGGTGATATGGCTTAATTGACAAGAAGATTCCAGAAGATGGTTCACAGGAATAGAAGCATTCCAAAAAGGGAAAGTTCTAGCAAGCCAAAACATTATGACCTCTGTCATAAATGTGGCAAGCCAGGACACTTCATCAAGGATTTCCCTCTCCTAAAGCAAGATCAGTATAAAAAAAACTTTGACAAAGCAGCCAAGAGGAACTCGGTTCCTGATAAATGCCTCAATAGAAAGAATGCCATTGACAATGTTGTAAAACAAGCTCTTCCTGCATGGGGAGACTCCTCCAGCAAATCTGAAGAAGATAATGATCATGGTGACAGTTCAATGATGACAGTAGAAAGTGAAGCAACTGAGTATGATTCCATTTTTGCCTTGGTGGCTCAGTCTGATGATGATGTAGATGACGACGACGATGATGAGGTAAATTTTCTGGATGTTCAGTGAAATCTGAAATCTTATTCTTCAAAAAAACTCATGTCTTTGGAAAATGTTTTAATAGATGCATACCACAGTATTATAAATGATACAACTGCTCTAATCGTGGAATTAGGAGAAGCAGAACAATATAGATATGACCTAGTAGTCGTTGTGGTAGATTTAAAAGAGACTATTGAGTGTGCTAAGAAAGAAAAAGAAGTTTTAATTGAAAAAGCTGCTAACTTAGAACTTGAGAGAGATGATCTAGTAGTAGTGGTGGTTGATTTGAAGGAAACTATTGAGAGTGTTAAAAAAGAAAAAGATGTCTTGACCAAAAGAGTCGCTAACACTGAGCTTGAGAGAGATGACCTACTAGCAGTAGTAGTTGATCTGAATGACACAATTAAGGAACTGAAAGTAGAGGGTAGGCATGAGACTCTTCACAAAGGTAAGGAAGTTGCTAATGAAACACATCTTAGGCTTGAAGATGAGATAAAGGCAGTGAAGTCTAGACTGTGTATTGAACGTGAAAAGAACAAACAACTTCAGGAAGAACTAGGAAGAGTCAAGAGTGATCTTGAAAAATCACTCAAATGGACCTGGTCCTTTGATGCTATCACTACCATGTACATAAACAATGGGGAAAACAGGTAAGGAATTGGCTTTCAAAGGGAAAAGGCTCCCTACAACCCTCATAGCAAGTATGTTACTATACCTGATAATTAGCTTTGTATTCACTGTGGTAACAATGTTTACCTTAATGAAAACTGGAAGGCTAGGGTTTATTCTCAACAGAAAAATAAAATTTTTGCTAAGAAAGTAACTACTGCTAAGAAACCTGGTCCCTCCGTTAAAAAACATATACTGCCTGCCTGGACAAAAAGAAGTTTAATTCGACCTTTTCCTCACTACAAGGGACCCAAACTTGTTTGGGTTCCTAAGTCTCACCCTTGATTTCCTTGTACAGGGAGTAGTGACAGGGAGCAACCAACAAGGGTACATAGATAGTGGTTGCTCAAAGCACATGATTGGAAGCACAAATGATTTTCTTTCACTCAAAGCCCTGCAAGAAGGGAGTGTATCCTTTGGAAACGATAAAAAGGGATACATTCTGGGAATTGGAAGAATTGGGAAGTCTCCTTCTCACTCAATTGAAATTGTGTACTACATGAATGGGTTAAAGTACAGCTTGTTAAGTGTCTCCCAAATCTGTGACATGGGAAACAAGAGTGGTGATCTCAGATGTCTGATTGTTGTTGAGGATGATACTGAACTATGGCACAGAAGGTTGGGTTATGGAAGTTTCACATTGCTGGTCAATAAGGACCTGGTTCGTGGCCTGCCCAACTCAAGCTTCAAAGATCACAAGGTGTGTGATGCAATGTGTTGAGGAAAGTATACATGTGATCTTTGATGAATCTCACCACTCATGTGGAAAGGATTCACATGATAAGATTGATCAAGAGGGAGAACGGTCAAATGTCCCTTATGAAGTCATTGACATGGCAAATGGAAAAATTGACATGATGAGTCAGGTCAAGGATTCAGATGAAAATGGTACATCTGAATCTCCAGCTAACATAGAGGAACCCGGTTCCTCAATCACTTCAACTGAAGCTAAAAATAGAGTTGCTGATGCAGATCAAGGGACCCCACATGCAGAGAGAGAATCACATTCAGAAATACCTGGACCATCTCACAACATGATCAAAGGCAATAAACACGCTTGAAACGATGGAGGAACCTGCTCATTGTGCAAGTGTATGTTGATGACATCATCTTCGGAGCAACAAACGACTCATTGTGTGAGAAATTTGCAAAACTCATGGGAAGTGAGTTCGAGATGAGCATGATAGGGGAATTAAATTTCTTCTTTGGTCTACAAATCAGATAAACTCCTCAGGGCACAATAATAAATCAGCAAAAGTACATCAAAGAGCTTCTGAAGAGATTTAAGATGGAAAGTTCAAAGATCATTGATACACATGTTGCCGCTGCCACTAGCCTAGATATGGATGAACCTGGTCCTCCTGTAAACGAGATTATGTATAGAGTCATTATTGGGTCACTTCTGTATCTCACAGGAAGTAGACTAGACAATGTTTTTAGTATGGGACTCTGTGTCAGGTTTCAATCCAATCTAAAGGAGTCTCATCGGAAGGTTGCAAAGAGAATTCTGAGGTATCTCAAAGGAACGCAGGACCTGGTTCTCTACTATTCCTCAGGAGATAAATTTGACTTGATAGGGTATGCTAATGCTGACTATGCTGGTTATCTGTGGATAGGAAAAGTACTTCTGATATGGCACATTTTTTGGGTTTGTGACTAATCTCATGGGGCACAAGAAAATAAAACTCAGTGGTCCTTTCAACTGCTGAAACTGAGTATGTTGCAGCTGCTTCTTGTTGTGCTCAACTGTTGTGGATCAAGCAGCAGCTAGAATATTTCGAGACAATATTGTGAAAGGGCTCATCTGTGTGAAGTTTTGCAGCACAGAAGATCAAATTGCAGATATCTTCACCAAAGCACTGAGCAGAGAGCTCTTTGAAAAGAATTGCATGGCACTATGATTGATAAAATCAAGCTGAGAACCTGGTCCCTCAATGATTGGCTACAAAAGAAATGTACAAGTAAAATAGCTAAAACAGTATTTTCTGGCACAGTCTAACTCACCTCTATACCGTTACAGGTAGACACGCATGATGTTTATAGAGCAAACAAGTAGCTAATTCATTACACGATTGGTCAAAGGATGCAGCATACATTTTCAAACTCTGTCAGGGAACCTGGTTCCTTTGACACAGGTTAGTAGTTCCTCTGTACTCTCATGCATAATTTTTTAAACGGCTGAAATGGTGCCACATCATTAAAATTGTCAGTTCCCTTTTTGTTGCTTCTTGAATCCAAGCATCTCACCCTTTATGAAGCGACCCGACTACCCAAAATTGATACCCAACCGGTCTCTCACCCCTCTTAAATAAATCCATTTCAGAACTGTTCACATCAAGAAACCAAAATTCCAATTTTCCTTCTTCAAACTCTCTTCTTCAACTGACTACACTCCACCATGTCTAACAATCAGGAAACACATAATGTTCCAAGCATTGTCCCCACTGTGTCCTCATCCGTTGAAACACCAGTGATAGAGCCCACACTCCATATTCCGACTAGTGCAAACCCTAAGCTAGAGTCACAACCACCCTCTGCTTCCTCTCCAACCCAGTCGAGTTCTGGTTCTCATCGGAGTCGCAAACCATCGACTCCCAAGAAATTTGTGGTTGTGACCTCTTCTTCTGCCTCGCCGGAAAAGATAGTTGAAGAAGATACTGTTGAGGGAGAAGAAAATCAGGAAATTTCTAGTCTGCCAGTGGAAAGTTCTGAGATACAGCAAGGCGTGGGTCATAATAATGATGAATTAACAAGAACTACCCAGGGGTTGATTTGAATGTCGTTGATTCTATAGGTAATGCTCTTCCTATGTCTTCTAAGTTCACTTTGGGTTTGCAAGAATAAGAGGCCATAGAGAATATGTTGTCAATAGCTGTTGAGGGTTGTGTAGATAGTGGTTATGAAGGTGTGTCTGAAAGGAATGGGTCTCAGGGGGAAGGTGACTGTCTACTGAAAGAAGGAATGGAACTGGTGCCTGTCGAAAATCTAGCACCAGATAGTACTACTGGGGAACCTACTCAGGGACCCGATACCTTCACACAAGAGGAGCCCTATGCTCCTACTTGGGATGAAACTCCCTATTCTTCTAAAGAACCCCAGGTCAGTACTGATCCCTCTCCCTCTCCTCACTTCTATGCTGAGCCATGGGCCATTATTTCTCCTTAGAAGAGATCTCTATCTGAGGAGGAGAATGACGGTAGTGAAGAAGACTAAGATAATGTGGCTCTTGAAAGCTTTATTAGTTCTAGGAATAGTAGGGTAACTCCCAAAACACCCACTCCTAAAAGACCTACTACAAGGCTGCAATAGAAGGAGGTTCTTGAGTCAGCTCTAAAGAAAATCAAGAAAGAAAAGAAGAGGAGAAGGTTAGTAAAGGGTGGAAAGTTAGTACATGAAAAGGTAGTGCCTACAGCTCTTGTTATGGACATTGATGAGGAGGTGGATGAGGAACCCATTACCTTAATCCGTAAATCCTCCAAGAAACCTGCGGTTCAAAATTCTAGAGAAAAAGTGGCTGAGGGGTCTGGTAAGAACGTGTCTGAAAAGGTGTCTGGGAAACTTGTTGAGAAAAGAAACAATGTAAAGAAATCTGTGAAGAGGAAGGACAGTGCAAGTGAGGGACCTGGTTCCTTGAAAAAGGCCAAGGTCAGTGTGACCAAGGATGTTGGAAGGGAAAACTTGAGGAAACAGAAGTTGCTTTGGGGCAGAACCTTTGCCCCTGATATTCTGTATATGGTTGGCATGCGACAACTGGTGGAGATTTGTGAATTTCAACAGTGGACGCACTTGTTCACAGGTGACACTCCCAAAGTGTATGAGGAAGAAGTGCACAGTTTCTATGTTGACTTCATCATTGTTAAGGATGATCATATTTGCATGATGGTGAATGGGGTCGATTCTGTGATGGACTCTGCTATGCTGGGATCTATTCTGGGTGTGCCTGCTGATGGGTTGTCTTCTGTTCAAGGCTCATGTTCTTCAAACTTTAGAAATGTTATTGTGAAGGATAAGGCAGTTCAGCAAGGGAAACGAGTACACAAGAAGGCCCTCCTTCCAGTGTAACAATTGTTGTTTGAGTTAGTGAACAAGGTCTTGCTCCCTCGTGCTGAGAGAAGGTCAATTACATCTCGAGCAGACCTGGTTCTCATGGAAGCACTGGATGGCTACACAACTATCAACCTGCCTGGCATCATGATAGAACACATTCAGAAGGTGGTAGAGTTCAAGGATGGAAATCATAAGCTGCCTTACGAGTTCCTCCTCACTAAGGTTTTTGAATTCTTCAAAGTCCCTTTCGGAAAAGCTAAAGTGGGTACTTGTAAGCAAACCTTCTCCAAGACCACCATCGAGGAATGTGA